ATCTATGGAAGCAGAGAGCAGGTGTTTTCCGCAAATGTTTTTCTATGGTTTTCTCGTGACGACATACATGATACATACATACGATGAACGTTTTCTCGAGATAACAAGTTAATTATGTCGTTGTCACAAAATAACAAGAGTTTTATCGTGATAACGACATAATATGTTGTTATTATGAGAAAACCATGGAAAAAAAAATATGTGCGGAAAATGTCCACTCTTGGCTTCCATAGTCATCTGACATAAAATGAAAGTCATTCAAATGTCTTCGCTCGTTTAAAATTTATTTCATACTATTAAAGTTTTTATTTATTTATTTTTAACAATTAAATTTAAAGGGATACTTACTGAGCCCGCAAGGGGACACGGGGGATTTTTTTTCTTTTTGCGTTCCCACGCAAAAGTATTGCATTACCTCGCGATACCTTTTGCGTTCCCTCACAAAAGTATTGCGTTACCTCGCAATACCTTTTGCGTTCCCTCGCAATAGTATTGCGTTTCCTCACAATACCTTTTGCGTTCCCTCACAAAAGTATTGCGTTTCCTCGCAAAACCTTTTGCATTCCCTCGCAAAAGTATTGCGTTTCCTCGCAATACCTTTTGCGTTTCCTCGCAAAACCTTTTGCATTCCCTCGCAAAAGTATTGCGTTTCCTCGCAATACCTTTTGCGTTTCCTCGCAATACCTTTTGCGTTCCCTCGCAATACCTTTTGCGTTCCCTCGCAAAAGTATTGCGTTACCTCACAATACCCTTTGCGTTCCCTCGCAATAGTATTGCGTTTCCTCGCAATACCTTTTGCGTTCCCTCGCAATACCTTTTGCGTCCCTCGCAAAAGTATTGCGTTACCTCGCAATACCTTTTGCGTTCCCTCGCAAAAGTATTGCGTTACCTCGCAAAAGTATTGCGTTACCTCGCAATACCTTTTGCGTTCCCTCGCAAAAGTATTGAGTTACCTCGCAATACCTTTTGCGTTCCCTCGCAAAAGTCCTTAAACACTGTTGTGCCTGCCAGTTTATAAACAAACTCACATGTTCACCATTAGCGAGTTAGCCTACGGCTTTAATTCTGCTTCAGAATGAATATATCACACTGCCACACATGGAAGTACGTCATATGCCGATATTTTAACACAGTGCAGCCACGCAACATCAAYATCAATTTCACAAACTTGTGGYGACACATCCTGTTTTGGTAACTGGATATTTCAAAATAAAAGTCTGATTTAATTCAGTTCGTGTACAAATCAAACTTATGCGTGGGAACGCAAAAGCAAAAAATGGCCCCATGTCCCCTCGTGTGCTCCGTAGATACTTCAGATTTTTATAGGGGATTGTGAAAAGGTTGAACAAATATTTTAGCTCTTTGAACAGCCTTAGTCTGAAGAAATACAGTTTAATTCTGACTTTACTCCAAGTAGATCCAAAATTAAAACAGATGGCTGCCATCTTTAATAATACCAATTAAAAAAATGAATAGACCATTGCCGTTCCTGTAAAGTTGACTTTGTATGAAACTGTCATGTTTGCATTGCATGCTTAAAGATGCTCATTACAGCCATTAAATCAATATTAGTGAAGTTTTAATGATTCACTTGAGCCCCAATTCAATTTGATTGATTTTAGGTTCACAGTTATGATTATTTTCAGTTTTGTTTTTCAACAAAATATGTTTCTTTGCCTTTATCGTCAGCGTTTTTGTCTTTTTATCAAACTGTGACTGTCTTAATGAATGTCTTAATTACAGTACTTCAAAATAGATAAAAATGTCATCACAAACTGAATGTGTCTTAAAGACATAAACAATGAAATTGATTCATTAATTTTTATCAATCAATATTTTATGCAGTTCTAATTGATTATGAATCAATTCTTGATAAATTGTCACATCCTTAAATATCGGTATCTAAAATGTTTATTATGGTTTATTTTGACAAGGAAGTTCTGATAGATGTCAGGTTTATTGATTATATGATGCATGGGCTTGCCATAATTGCCTTCCTGCAACAGCAGTTTGAACTGTGGGTCCGACTCCTTCCTCCTGCCTTAAACAGGTTCACTCATCTCCCCGGAGCACTTCTTTCTCCCCCTGTCTTCTTCTCTTCTTTCTCTCCATCCTTGATTGTCAGGTTTTTCTTCAGCTGCTCTCAAGTGCCTGCAGCGTGTGACAGTGCATATATGAATAAATAACTCGCCGCCAAGAGGACACTGGAATATTTGACAACGCTGTCATTTACAGTTACTTTCCTGCAAGTCTCTGCTCGAATGACAAATATAGAGCAAAAGCAGATATTCTATCTGAGCCCTGGCTGCTTTATAGTTTATTTTATTTATTCATTTCCCTCCCTGTGAGCTCCGTTCCTTTCTTGTAGCTTCCTTTCTTGTGTGTGCGTGTGCCACACACACACACACACACACACACACACACACACAGAAGACCCTTTGGGATTTCATGCTACGCTTATGAGTGGTTGTTTGATCAAATAGCCCTCATTAGGAGGCACTGCTGACTTTTTTTTTTTACTGGTTGTTGTTTTAAATCAGCCTCGCCATCTTTGTGTGACTCTGTTTGCTCGGCTCGCAACTACAAACCTCCAAAAGGCTGAGGGTGAGGAAGAGGAGGAGGCAGAGTGAAGCCCTCTACTCCCCATTAGGTGGAGTTGTGGAAAAAGACTTTACCCCTGCAGCCACACATAAACAACAACAAAAAAGTTCACAGGACTGAACGCACGCACGCACACACACACACACACACACACACACACACACACACACACACACACACACACACACACAC